TTACCTCTAAGATACCGTGCAGCTTCAAATCTATGGTCTTATCACCTTCAGCAAGTAACCATTCAATTCCCTCTGAACACCTCCACCAATGGAGATCTCCTTCCTCACGGCACAGGCCATTCTATTTGGGGCAGCTCTAATTCTTAGCCAGATCTTTCTTACAGTTGTCCAAAACTTGCCTCACTGTAACTTCTACCCATCAGTTCTAGTCAATCATGCAGGCCAAAGTCAACAAAGATGAAATCTATTCTATGCCATAGCTCTTCAAACGTCCGAGGAAGGAGCATGTGCTTCCTGAGTCATCTTGTATTTAGGTTAAAGATTCCTAATCCTTTCCACCCTCCTCACATGGGACTGTTCTGTGTCTTCTGGTCATTCTTGTCTGTCCTTGTGATAGCAAAGAAACAAAAACAAAGCAGATGTCCATCGGTTAAGGAATGGTTAAATTATGGAACATGAATGTTGACTGACTGATGTAACTGAAATATTACTACGTCATAAAAAAATTCAGATAAGCATAGGGAGACTTACACAAAAACTGATGCAGAATGAAATAAGCAGGACCACATACAAAAAAATTACTTCATATGTATGTGTGTTTGTGTGTGTATGCGTATGCACATGTACATGACTAAAACAACGTAAACAGAAATATCGAAGAACATCCATTATGATGAACCGGATGGACTGGAGAAGAGATTTTTAAAAATGTCCCTCCCTCCTGCCTTCCAGAGGTAGGGGACTACAGGTGGGGAATATTACATCTACTGTCAGATAGAGTTGATTTATTGGTTGGTTTTGCTGAACTGCTGGGTTTTTTTTCTTATTTCTTTTTTGATTGAAGGGATGGCTCACTGGGTAGAGAAGGGAAGCATATATTCAGAAATAAAGGTGATATAAAAACAAAATATATCAATAAAATTAGATTGTTTTGTTTTGTTTTCAGGCAATTGAGGCTAAGTGACTTGCCCAGGGTCACACAGCTAGTAAGTGTCAAGTGTTTGGTCTGAGGCCGCATTTGAACTCAGGTCGTCCTGACTTCAGGGCTGGTGCTGTATCTACTGCACCACCTAGCTGCCCCCATGGTTTTCCTATCTGTAAAATGGCAATAATACTATTCCTAATATTATCAAAAGACGATCAAATAAGAATGCAGTGGAAGCCCCTTGCAAGCTTTAAAACTCTACATAAAATGGCAATTATTAGTTGATAATCCTTTCAATTGATATATTGAAGCAATGTGATGTGGAGGAATGGGGGGGGAAGAATAAGCATTTATTAAGTACTTACTTTGTGCCAGGCACTGTGTTAAGCGCTTCACAAATATTATTTCAATTCTTACAACAACCCTGTAATGTACGTCCTACTATTATTCCCATTTTATAATTTAGGAAACTGAGGCAGACAGTATCCAAACATAATTTGAACTCAGGTCTTCCTGACTCCTGCGCCACCTAGTTGATGCAGTAGAAAGAGCACCAGACAGAATCTGGACGCCTCGATTCAAGCTCCAGCTACTCTGGGCCCCAAGTCATTTGATCTCGGCTAAATCTACCTGGAAGCTAGGTGGCGCCAGAGTGCACAGAGCGCTGGGCCTGGAAACAGGAAGACTGATATTCCTGAGTTCAAATCTGGCCCCAGACTCTTAACGGCTGTGTGACCTTGAAACCCTCAGTTTCCTCATCTGTAAAAGTAGCTGGAGAAGGCAATGGCAAACCACTCCAGTAACTCTGCCAAGAAAACCCCAGTTGGGGTCCATGTTGCAGCTCTGCAACCAGAAATATAATAAAGCTCTCAAAGATGTCAGATTTTCAGAATTGTGTATGCAAAAACACAGGTTCTACTGACCAATAGAAACGGCTCCCTCCCACTTAAGGATGCCCTGACCTGTGTGGTTTTACAATATCAACAGTACATTATAACGCAAATTCTGTGCAATGTTGGAAATCTCTTCTGTAACATTGTTTGGTCAAGCAGTCATTTGGAGCTCTGCTCCTGGGAACTGACTACTCCCTGCAGTACACTTACAGTGTTACTTACTAACACTGTGTCACTTACCAGCATGCCTTTGCAGAAGCCATTAATGACAACAGCGCATGACTAGATTTTTTTCCCCCTCTATGTAAGTATGTAAAGTATTTCTGGAAATTTTTTTCCATAGAAGACAATTTGCAATAATGAACCAAACACTCCCACAATAAGACAACGGCAACTTTTAAAACCCAGTGTGCAGATGGGGAGGGTGCTGGATTTGGGACTTCAGGTAAATGAGTTCCAATTCCACCTGGGACATAATTTATTAGCTATGTAAACCTTGGCAAGGAGTTTAGCCTTGGTCCTAGTTTTTGTGATACAATGTATTCGTCCAACTACTAGAAAATACATTGCGGTATATAATAGTAATAAACAATGGCTATTTTAATTATGCAGAAACATATCCTTGAAATTAGTGTACCATACTGTCATTTAATTGCCACAGAAATTTCTTTCCAGGTAAACATTCTGCAAATCAGTGAATCAATAAGCATTTATTAAATGTTTAACTATTTGACTAGCATTATTACTAAGCTATGGAATATAAAAAGCAAAAGTCTGTGCCCTCAAGGAGACATTCTAACATGGGACATGTTTATGTATGTGTATGTATGTATATAGTCTTCTAATTAAATTTCCCTTAATTCTACTGCCTTCTCTCTGTTAATTATCTCCAATTTATCCCATCGATATCTTCTTTGTACATAGTTGCTTGGATGTTGCCTCATTAGACACTGAGATCTTAGGAACTCCCTGCCTTTTCCCTGTATTTCCCAACACTTGCTAGTGCCTAGCACCCAGTAGATGCTTACTAAATGTTTATAGACTTGACTTAACTAATTAGTGACAAAATCTCCATAAGAAAACAGATCTCAGTCCTTAGTTTACCATCCATTTTCAAAGTTTTTTAAAAAAACTATGTCTCAACACATTTTCCCTTGTTTAAAAAAAATCCATCATATATGTGTTATTTCTAAAAGACAAACCACAATTTAAATAAGTCAAGGATGCCAAAATACTCATGGAACAAATGAGTAGATTTAACGTCCTAGTGAAGGGGGTGGGGTTCTCTGGCTCCTCTGTATCTACCATTAGACAAAACACACATGACAGCCTTACTTATTTTTTTTAAGGCAATTTGGAATGTACCTTGAGAAATTGTATAATGTTTCAACATTATTTCTAGTTTTTCCCAGTTATTAATTCCCTCAACATTCCATATTTATTTTGTATATAGCCAGTATTTACATATTTGTGAACAGGCACCTCACCCCACCGCCTCAATAGAATGGAAGCTTCAGGAGGGCAGCTGTGTACCCTAGAGCCTGGCAACAACAACTGATTCTTTTTTATATTGATGAAAGGATCTGTATATTTTTCAGGGTTTTTTTTAGTTTTTATTTTTTCCCCACTTAATGGTATTTTATTTTTTCCAAAGACAGTTTTCAACATTCACTTTTATAAGATTTTGAATTTCAAATTTTTTTCTCCCTCCCCCTCCCCAAGATGGCAAGCAATTTCATATAGGTTATACATGTACAATCATATTAAACGTATATCCACATTAGTTATATTGTGAAAGAAGAATCAACACAAAAGGGGAAAAGCACGAGAAAGAAAAAAAAAACATGAAAATAGTATGCTTCAACCTAGCAGCCGATTTTAATAAATGCCTGCTATGTTACTAGAAATTCTCTAAGAACCCGATCCAAATGTATTCTAACAGTGCTTTGCTACCTCTGAATTCCACAGGCGGGCTATTTATCCATCTCTTATCAATCAACCAACAAGAATTTATTAGGCGTCCACTATGGCTAAGCAGTAGATTTTTCAAGAAAAAGCAAAAGCAGCTCCGATCCTCGAGAGTCTTACATTCTAACGGTAGGAGACAATACAAAAATCTCAAACCGCACCAAGATTACATGGAGGTAACTTTGGTGGGGAGGGCACTTCGTTAGGGGCAACTGCCAGTCACAAACATTAAACCAGACTGGAAAGGCTCAACGTGAAAGGGACATCTTCTAAGAAATCTGTAACTGGTGGAGTCCCTTTCACCCTCTCACTCCCTCCAATCAGTCCTCTGCGGTTATTCTCACGTCCCCCGCAACAACGAAGGTTTGACACCTGGCTCCACACCTCCTTAAAACCTTTCTGCTCCCAACTACACAGCTGCACGGAGATGCGTGCACATAAGGACACATACGCACATGCACAACACACACATGTACACGCACATACACGCACATCACACACATGTGCACGCACATACATGCACGCACATACATCTACGAGAGAGCAGCCTCCAGGGATCGTAAGAGAGCTGGGGAAGAGGTTGGTGCAGACACGCTCCGAGAGCTCAACTCAGTTCCAGAGGCTTCTCCCAAGCAGTGACACCTCCTCTCCCTCCGGGATCTCCCGGATTCCCGCACCCCAGCCCCCACCCGCTGCCCCGGCTCCTTCCTCTTTCCCCTGCCTCCCGGGGAGCGAACCCCGGCACTCTCTCACCTGCCCCGAGCCGCCCGCGGCAGCCCGATAGCGGCGCTCCGTGCCATATCACCCGGGCCGCGGTCCCCGTGGTGCCCGAGCCCCTCGCGCCCCCCGCGCCCCCCGCGCTGCCGCTGTTGCTGCCGCCGCCGCTGCCCCCGCCGCTGTAGCTCGGGCACGCGGGGAGAGCGAGGTAGACAAGGGGGGAAAAGGAGGGAGGCTAGGAGGAGGCGGGGAACGGGGGGGGGGGAGCGGCGCGCGCAGGAGGCCGCGGGGGCGGGGTGGGGGCGCGCCGGGGGCCTCGATCTGAGCCGGCTCCGCTCCTCTCCGCCCCTCCCTTCCCTCCCCACCGACCCGCGCGGATCCCTGCTCGCGCGAGGACACAGCTGACCGCTCGGTGCGCCGATCGGCGGCCGAGGCCGGCCCCAGGAGCAGGGGCCGCCGAGTCCGCTACCCGGCTGGCTCGCGGGGGCACCACCCACCTCTGTCAGCAGGTGCCGCAGCCGCCGCCGCAGCCTCCGGAGCCCCGGCCGGGTCCAGCGTGGGCGGCGGGAGAGCGCGTCCCACTCCACCTCCGTCCCTGGGCTTCCTCTTCATAATAATGCCCGGAAGGGTCCAGGGCCCGCGCGGCCCTAGCGCATCTCCCCGGGCGGCCGCGAGCCCGGCAGCCGGACACTCCGACGGGTGACCCAGCCTCGGCACGCGCTGGCTCGCCAGAGCCGGGTGACCGCCGAGAGGCGCGCGCGAGCCACCCCCTCCTCCCTCTTCCCCCTCCCTTCCCTCTTCCCCCTTCCCCCTCCCTTCCCTCTTCCTCTCCCTTCCCTCTTCTCTTCCCCCCCTCCCTCTTCTCTTCCTCTGCCCTCCCCCTTCCCTCCTGCCTCCCCCCTCCCCTCTTCCCCTTCCTTTCTTCTCTTTTCCTCCTCCCCCTCTCCTCAGGGGCTCCCCCGCCTTCCCTAGGATCCCTGCACTGAGCGAGAGAGGGGCGGTCACGGGGAGGCAAGCCAGCCACTCAGAGCCCGGAGTGGGTTTCTGGACCCAACCATTGGGACTGATGTGGGGACCCGCTTGTTCACCCAAGTTCACTCATTCGGCATCGACCCGATTAAGGGGAGGGCGGGGAGAGAGGAGCCCTGGATGGACACGAAGGATCACGGGAGGGACCCAAGTCTTGCTTCCTAAAGAATTATCATCCATCGGCAGCAGCATAGTCATTGTGACAGCTGACGTTTCTACGGAGCTTAGAGGTTGGCGGAGGGCTTTCTTTGCAGACCTCCCCTAATTCGAACCTCATAACAGAGAGGGGCTGTTATCACCATTTTTAAAAAGTCTGAGGCCACCCCTGAACGAGAAGCAGCTGGTCCAGGATTACACTAACAGGGGTATGCCGGTAGATGTATAACAACCCCGGGGGAGGGGGAGGGGAAGATGTACCCACAACACACTTTTAATGTGCTTTATTGGCATTTTTCTACCACTTTCTGAAGTCTAAATACTCGATACATGTAAAAAGCCCCGATTTGTAACGGTTGCAGATTTCCCGGATGTAGATGTTCACACTAAAAATTAACAATCAGCTCTTGAGAGCCCTTTTGACCTGGTAACGCAGAAACTGACAAAAGCAAGTCATCTTGACTCACCTCTTCAAGCCTCAGTTTCCTCATCTGCAAAACGAAGGGACTGGATTAAATGGCCTGCGAGGCCCCTTCCAGCTCTACGAGCCCCACTCGAGTTTTCCATCTCTCCCTATCTACTGACTGCTTCCCTGCTAACTACGAACATGCCCACTCGTCTGTTCCCCCCAACCACCCATCCTTAAAAACCTCTCGCTGGATCCAACCCTCTCCACTGCAGTCTACACTTGCTACCTCCACTTCCTAGGCCATTACTGGATTTTTAAGTCCTCTGGCTTTGGAGCTAATCACTCAAGGAGAACTGCTCCAAAGTTACTGATGGTCAGCTTAATTACCAGATATAATGGTCTTTCTCAATCCTCATTCCTCTTGCCTTCTTTGAGAGCAGGGACTGTCTCCTGCTTTGTATCCCCAATGGCAGAGTGCCTGACACATAGTAGTTGGCTAATAAATGTTTATTGACTGACCTACCACATTTAACAAAGTTGATGACTCTCTCCTTTCTGGGTTTTCCTCCTAAACATCTTGTCTGCTTTTTCTCAGTCACCTTTGCTGTACCATCCAGGTACACCTACTAACTGTGAGTGTGCTTTTTCTTCCTAGGCATACTCTCTCAACTTCCCCGTCTTACGTTACCTTTATACAAATGACTCCCACATTTATATATAAGCCCTAATATCTCTCTCTCTCTCTCTCTCTCTCTCCCTCTCTCTCTCTCTCTCTCTCTCTCTCTCTCTCCTCTCTCTCTCTCTCTCTCTCTCTCTCTCTCTCTCCCTCCCTCCCTCCCTCCATGACTAGACATTTCAAACTAGATTTTTGTAAGCATCCCAGGGTCAACATGTCCAAGAAAGAACTTATTATTTCCCCCCTTCTCTCCACTCCCCCACCCAAATCCTGGCTCTTCTGAATTTTCCTTCATTGTTAAGTGCACAAATATCATTCCACTCACCTAGGTCCTAAAAACCTTTGTGTCACATGCAATTCTTCACTTGTCCTTACCCCACATATCCAATTAGTTGCCAAATCTTACTTCTCTCAACATTGATTGCATATGTTTCCTTCTGTCTATTCAGTGACCACCCTAGTTCAGACCCTGATCACCTCTTTCCTGAGTGTTGCAGTAGTCTTTTAAGTGATCCCCTGCCTTTCCTTTCCCTTCTCTGGTCCATTTTTCACCCAGTTGCCAGAGTGATTTTCCTAAAGCACAGGTCTGACCATGTGCACCCCATCCTCCACTCCACTCAGTAAGCTCCCAGCCTCTCCCTGTTACCTCTGGGATCAACTACAGACTTTTCTTTTTTGACATTTAAAGTTTTTCACAACCAGGCTGCTTCTAAGCTTCCTAGGTTTTTATTGGTTCCTCCATTAGAATGTAAGTTCCTAGTGGTCAGGCACTATGCCCTTATTTCCTTAATAAATGCTTATTGATCCCTATCTCCATGTCTTTGCACAAACTGTCCTTTTGCCTCTAATGCACACTCTCACCTCACCTCCTCTCTTAGAATCCTTGGCTTCCTTCAAAGCACAGCTCAAACACCACTTTTTTTTTTCTTTTTGGTCAGGCAATCAGGGTTAAGTGACTTGCCAGGATCACACAGCTAGTAAGTGTCAAGGGTCTGAGGTCACATTTGAACTCAGGTCCTTCTGACTCCAGGGCCCATGTGCTATTCACTGCAACACCCAGCTGTCCCTCAAATACCGCTTCTGCACGAAGCCTTTCCTAACCCCTGATGCTCTGCCTCCAGATCAAATGTGATTATTGTTTTTACCTCACTGTTTTTCTTTGTCACAGGGAAGAGGTTAAACCTGATAAGAGATCTTAAAATGACTGTGAAGTCCCCAAAATACTCTTATCTAGATACAAATGTTGTTACCCCATTAGAATATAAGCTTCTTGAGAGCCGAACCTATACTTTTTCACTTTTATCTTCCTATCTCCAGGTAGTACAGTGTCTGGCATATTAGTAGGCTCTGAACAAATGCTTTCTAATGATTGATTGATTGATTGAAATACCATTCATCCTTCCAGAGCAAGCTCAAATACTACCTCCTTCATACAATCTTGACTGATCTCTGTCTATTGAACTGTAATAGCATCTTGTTTGTATCTTTCATATGTGGACCGCATTCTACTTTATATTCCAACTATTTGGAAACATAAGTCAACTTGAAATTAAGAAAACTACCAAAATAGCAACAAGGGTCTTTAGTCGAGGCAAGAAGATTGCAATTTGAGGCACCACACCAGACCAGGTACAGGAGAGCTGGAAGGGAGCAGAAGGGGCAGGGTTTAAATACACTTCAATTGGGAGGAGTTAAACTGTTTTGCAAAATAGCTAAAGGCTAGGCAGTAGTTGACATCTGGTCAGAACAAAGGGCTCCAGGTGCAGAGAGTTCCCAGATATCATAAGACCCACTCCAACCCTGGTGTCTGTGAGGTCCAGGCAACCCTTTCTGATCACCGCATTCACCACGTATCATCAACTCTACTAAATTATCAGTTGTGTGGGGTTAGGGATCATATCGTATTTGTCTATCTCCCTGGCACAATTCTCTATACGTAGGTGACCAGTAAATGTTGGTGCACTGAAATGAATTCTTGCATTTGCCTAGCCCTCTTCCACTTGGTATCCAGTGTGTGGACAATACCAGTGGGGAAGATATTTGGGGGTGAAACCAGCTTTTTGAAACTTAAATCAGTAAACAGAAGCAGCTGCTACTTGTCATACTTTCTATGCAAACTTCCCCCTCTCTAGGCAGAGCCCTTCATTCTGCATTACCCACCAGACATCTCTTTGATCTCTAAGCTTCAGAATTCTCTAAGGGATACAGAATTTTGAAATGTCAAGCCAAGGTTAGAACACCAAGTTTTGCGAATATAAATCAATTTGTTCCCAAATGACCAGGGCAGCTAGGTGGTGCAGTGAGCTCTGGGCCTGAAGTCAGGAAGACTCATTTTCTTGAGTTCAAATCTGGTATGAGGTACTTACGGGCTGTGTGACCCTAGGCAAGTCATTTGACCCTGTTTGCCTCAATTTGCCCATCTGTAAAATGAGCTGGAGAAGGAAATGGCAAACCACTCCAGTATCTTTGCCAAGAAAACTCCAAATGGGGTCACAGAGAGTCAGACATGACTGAAACAACACAATAACAAATGACCATGATTTCCACTCAGTTTCACAAAATTCACAGCAAAGAAACCATAATTCTCATACCATTTTGCTTGCTGTTATGAGCCTAGCAATATTGGTAAAGAATAGATCGATCAGTTGATAAACATTTATTAAGTAATCAGTGTGTGCTAAAGTGCCGGGGATACCCTTAAAAAAAGAGACAGTCCCATCCTCAGGAAGCTTACAATGTAAAGGAGGCACACAACACAGAAAAGAAAGCTGAAGAGGGGGGAAGGGGAAAGAAGGTACCCTGTGGTACCTTCCTAGCCAGTCTTCCTCCTGCGGGAAAGCTTATAAATCTACCAAGTGATTCCTACAGACTGGAATACATATGAAGAGAACTAGGAGCCTCTGCATTGTGCCAAATAACTCATTCGCCAGGGCTCATCATTGCCATCCTAAAATGCTGATTTGGTTCCTGAGGGCCCTGCATGCATTCAGTTTCAAGATCTGAAGAAGCTTTGATAGAAATCCAAGTACAAGCAGTACAGTTGGTAGTAAATGAAGAGTTGGCTGGTCTGTGAGCCCTCTTCAAGTGAAGGCTTCCAATTAGAGGAGCTGAGGGTCCTGAAGAAGTAGGGGTACCAAAACTAATATAATCTTACTGGATGATGAGTTTACTAGTGAAGGGGTTTCTGGGGAGCATGATGATGATGCAGTCCAAGTCTAGGAAGGTGGGAAAGACCGCATGGGACTGTCATGGTCATGAGTTATTCCCACTTATTTTCAAGATGGTGCTCAGCATGGAAAATATCCCTTTTCTGTCCTGAAAGGATTTTTTCACAATTACAACTCTGAATACAGACTAGACCTGTGATTTCACAGAGATGGAAAACTCCTTCTACCAACATAGTTTAGCATCTTTGCTTCAACTTAGGGTCCCAGAGGGTTACTTGTCTTACAGCACCAAAATACTATGAGAGAGTATATGTTGAGGCAAGACTTGAACCCAGGTCTTCCTG